GACAGATCCTGGACTGTCCTTTTCCTTGTAAGCCGCCAGATCAGTAGCAACAGTCCTTTATGGACAAGGAACTTGCAGCCCCTCAAAAATCAACTTAGCCTCTTGCAACTACATGCAGAGATATCTCCTCTCTGAGCTCCACAGCCTGAAGACAATACCAACCCTCCTGGCTGCGCTGAAGATCTTCCCAGGACCAGGATAAAGGACTGTGCCCAGCGCTGTCCTTGGAAATCTTGCTGCATGTAGCAGTCCCTCCCCTTGTGGATCCCAGAGAGTGCTGCTGTACTCACATTGCCCTCCTTGCTCCCCCAGCTCCAGGTCCCCATCCTGTCCATGCTGCACTGCTGGATCCATCCTCCTGAGCCCATCCTGGAGGCCGCCAGACGTAGGGGACCTCTCCCAGGCACCGACAGTCTCCTCAGCACTCCATCTTCCACCCGACTCCTCTGTCAGCCTGACTCTCTGATATTTACGGACCGGTCCACCACTCTACCAGGTCCTCCAAATCTGGGAGTGACCAGACTCCCATAAACATGCAGATTAGGTCTCCACCCCTTCCTGCTTACCGACTTCTGGAATGTTCTATGGTCCTCCAGGGCCAGGAGGAGGCGATGGAGCCACAACCTGTTATGTCATCAAGCTGACCTGCAATAACCTCCACCCCCGACTCGGACAGTTACCAGGAGTCCCACACAATGATTGTACCTGCAATACACCGCACTATCCTAGCAGAACACCAGAGGGTGCTACATAAGGAAGGGTGGGACTGGCAGTCAATCTAAGGAAGAGTGGGACCTGGTGGAACTGGCAGTCAGCCCAAGGAAGGGTGGGACATGGTGACCCTGGCAGTCAGTCTTAGGAAGGGTAGGACCTGGTGGGACTGGAAGTCACTCTAAGGAAGGGTGGGACTGGCAGTCACTCTAAGGAAGGGTGGGACTTGGTGGGACTGGCAGTCAGTCTAAGGAAGGGTGGGACCTGGTGGGTCTGACAGTCAATCAAAGGAAGGGTGGGGACCTGGTGGGACTGACAGCCAATCAAAGGAAGAATGGGACCTGGTGGGACTGACAGCCAATCTAAGGAAGAGTGGGACTGGCAGTCAATCTAAGGAAGGTTGGGACCTGGTAGCACTGACAGCCAAGTCAAAGGAAGAGTGGGACTACTGGAGTCAATCTAAGGAAGAGTGGGACTTGGTGGCACTGGCAGTCAATCTAAGGAAGAGTGGGACCTGGTGGGACTGACAGCCAATCTAAGGAAGAGTGGGACTTGGTGGCCCTGGCAGTCAATCTAAGGAAGGGTGGGACTTGGAGCAGCCAAGTCTAAGGAAGAGTGGGACTGGAGTCAATCTAAGGAAGGGTGGGACTTGGTAGCACTGGCAATAAGTCTAAGGAAGAGTGGGACCTGGTGGCATTGACAGAAAATCTAAGGAAGAGTGGGGCCCTGACAGTCAATATAAGGAAGGGTGGGACCTGGTGGGACTGACAGTCAATCTAAGGAAGAGTGGGACCTGGGACTGACAATCTACCCAAGGAAGGGTGGGACTTGGTGACGCTGCAATAAGCAGAAGAGTGGGACTGACGTGGCAGTCTCCGCAATCACCTCTAAGGAAGGGTGGGACCTGGTGACCCTGACAGTCAACCCAAGGAAGGGTGGGACCTGGTGGGACTGACAGTCAATCTAAGGAAGGGTGGGACTGACAGCCAATCTAAGGAAGGGTGGGACATGGTGACCCTGGCAGTCCAATCTAAGGAAGGGTGGGACATGGTGACCCTGGCAGTCAATCTAAGGAAGGGTGGGACATGGTGACCTGGCAGTCAATCTAAGGAAGGTGGGACTGGTGACCCTGGCAGTCAATCTAAGGAAGGGTGGGACATGGTGACCCTGGCAGTCAATCTAAGGAAGGGTGGGACCTGGTTGGACTGACAGTCAATCTAAGGAAGGGTGGGACATGGTGACCCTGGCAGTCGATCTAAAGAAAAGTTACATAGTTACAGTTACATAGTTAAAGTTATATAGTTAGTCTGGCTGACAGAAGACAAAAGTCCATCCATTTCAACCATAAAAAAAAAAAATTGGGAAGTAATGTCCCTCCTGTGAATGTTTGGTGAATGTCGCATTTCCCGTCTTCATCAATACGCCCAATCATGTTGGGATATATATTCGTCTTCCTGGTCCCTCCTCAGGACTGGAGGGGGTGCGGTGCACCTGCACTGCCTGTGATGTATTGCAGCCGCTGAGCGTCACCTAATGAATGGCCGCCGTCCTCCATAATGGAATGCGCAATTAATGGGTCGCTTTTTAAGAGATTCTTTCAATTAATCTCAGGCAATTAATTCCATAATGTAGCTGAAAGTCGCACACAACGTCCCCCTGAGATCAATCACAAAGACTGTTAATTAACTCCGCGGATTAACCCTCGAAGGACTCGGCTACCTTTCTGCCGTCGTGCTGGCCGAACGCGCGCTGATCCCCCCCCACCCCCCGTGCAGCCGACCGTTCGATGTGATTGCGGAGTGATCGGGATATTGATAATGGATGAGGGATAGGATATGGACGGCGGATTGGCCTGGAATGATCCGATTAGGTTCAGTGACAAAAGACAATTGGAAGGCGGGGGACAGCCGCTGCGGGAAAACGATCGTTCGTAGATTCCACAGACTGGAAGAAGGGAAATTATAGAGACTTTGTATCCGATTCCACGGGCTTTGTATCCGATTCCACAGACTTTGTATCCGATTCCACGGACCTTGTATCCGATTCCACGGACCTTGTATCCGATTCCACGGACTTTGTATCCGATTCCACAGGCTTTGTATCCGATTCCACAGGCTTCGTATCCGATTCCACGGACCTTGTATCCGATTCCACGGACCTTGTATCCGATTCCACGGACCTTGTATCCGATTCCACAGGCTTTGTATCCGATTCCACAGGCTTTGTATCCGATTCCACAGGCTTTGTATCCGATTCCACAGACTTCGTATCCGATTCCACAGACTTTCGTATCCGATTCCACAGACCTTGTATCCGATTCCACAGACTTCGTATCCGATTCCACAGACTTCGTATCCGATTCCACAGACTTCGTATCCGATTCCACAGACTTCGTATCCGATTCCACAGACTTTGTATCCGATTCCACGGACTTTGTATCCGATTCCACAGACTTTGTATCCGATTCCACAGACTTCGTATCCGATTCCACGGACCTTGTATCCGATTCCACGGACCTTGTATCCGATTCCACAGACTTTGTATCCGATTCCACGGACCTTGTATCCGATTCCACGGGCTTTGTATCCGATTCCACGGGCTTTGTATCCGATTCCACGGGCTTTGTATCCGATTCCACGGGCTTTGTATCCGATTCCACGGGCTTTGTATCCGATTCCACGGGCTTTGTATCCGATTCCACAGACTTTGTATCCGATTCCACAGACTTCGTATCCGATTCCACAGGCTTTGTATCCGATTCCACAGGCTTTGTATCCGATTCCACAGGCTTTGTATCCGATTCCACGGACTTTGTATCCAAATGGAAATCAGATTGGGGCAAACCATTCCATTCACACTTGTGTGTTGTGCAGTAACAGTGTTGACACACATTGCTGCGTTGCACTTGCTCTACATGCGCTGCGTTGTGGTGCTATTCAGTGTGAATGGCACCCGAATACATCATGCCGTAGAGCCCATCACACAACAGACCACAGTGAATACAGGTGAATGGTAATGGGGGGGAGAAGGCGTGCGGTTCGGGGTGAACGGTAATGGGGGGGAGAAGGCGCGTGGTAACGGGTGAACGGTAATGGGGTGGAGAAGGCGCGCAGTACGGGGTGAACGGTAATGGGGCGAGAAGGCGCGTGGTACGGGTGAACGGTCAGGGGGGGAGAAGGCACGCACGGTACGGGTGAACGGTAATGGGGTGGAGAAGGCACGCGATACGGTGAATGGTAAGGGGGGGAGAAGGGCGCGCGATACGGGTGAACGGGAATAGGGGGAGAAAGTGAGCGGTACAGGTGAACGGTAATGGGGTGGAGAAGGCACGCGGATACGGGTGAATGGTAAGGGGGGGAGAAGGCACGCGATACGGGTGAACGGGAATAGGGGGAGAAATGGCGGTACAGGTGAACGGTAATGGGGGGAGAAAGTGAGGTGAACGGTAATGGGGGGGGAGAAGGCACGGTACAGGGGAACGGTAATGGGGGGAGAAGGCGCGCGGTACAGGTGAACGGTAATGGGGGGAGAAGGCACGCTGTACAGGTGAATGGTAGGTGCGTGGTACAGGTGAATGGTAGGTGCGTGGTACAGGTGAATGGTAGGTGCGCGGTACAGTGAACGGTAAGGGGGGGAGTGCGCGCGGTACAGGTGAATGGTAGGTGCGTGGTACGGGTGAATGGTAGGTGCGCGGTACAGGTGAATGGTAGGTGCGCGGTACAGTTGAACGGTAAGGGGGGGAGAAGGCGTGCGGTACGGGGTGAATGGTAGGTGCGCGGTACGGGTGAATGGTAGGTGCGCGGTACGGGTGAATGGTAATAGGGGGAGAAGGTACGTGGTACGGGTGAATGGTAGGTGCTCGGTACAGGTGAATGGTAGGTGCGCGGTCTGGGTGAATGGTAGGTGCGCGGTACAGGTGAATGGTAGGTGCGCGGTACAGGTGAATGGTAGGTGCGCGGTACAGGTGAATGGTAGGTGCGTGGTACAGGTGAATGGTAGGTGCGCGGTACAGGTGAATGGTGGTGTGCGTGGTACAGGTGAATGGTAGGTGCGCGGTACGGGTGAATGGTAGGTGCGCGTGGTACAGGTGAATGGTAGGTGCGCGGTACAGGTGAATTTCTCACTACTCAATGAACCCCTAGCAACATCTGGAGGGACCCCGGTTGGATAAGACTGATGTCCACAAACCCAAAGTCATCCCAAAAACACGAAGAAATGGCAGTTGAGAAGTGTGACCAGCAGGAAATGGCACCGCGACTAAACTGTCCTTTTGTTTCTTCTTCCTGCAGGTTCTGCGTCGGGGACAAGTTTTTCCTGAAGAACAACATGATCCTGTGCCAGATGGACTATGAAGAGGGGCAGCTCAACGGGAGCTTCGAATCCCAAGTCCAATAGCGCCTGGCATTGCGGCTTCGCCAAAAGCTCCTCCGATTGGCTGTCCTGCCACGCAAGCAGCGACAAAGCGTCCGTCGGCTCGCCTGCAATATTTTTTAAAATCTTTGGCCCCCTCCCGAACCCCCCCCGAGGACTGTGTACGATGTGGTACTCTCTGTCCCCCCCCCCCCCCCCCCACGAAGCAGTTGCGGTTTTTAGGTGTACAGTCGTGCCTGGTTAGCTGAGCACTGCGTTTGCCTGTATGTTCGTCAGGGATTTGGGGAGGGTGGCGTTCCGGGGGCCCCCCCCTGTACAGTCTGTTTTATGTATATAAACTGGAACATTTATTTTATGAAAATGTAATGCAATTTTATTACTGGTGTGAAATTAAAAGATTATGAATGTTTACTGCTTGGCTGACTCGTTCATTTGCACCGTGCTTCTATCTGGAGAACCCCAAAGAGGACCTGTCATCAGGAAAGTAACAGGTATGGAGCCCCAGAAGGGCAGATAGGGTGGCGTTGGGTCCCCATAGCTGTATCGGTTTCCAAAATTATGGTGGAATCTGTAAAGTAGCCATTGAGCTTCAAGGGTTCAAAAGTGCCTCCTCCATCAGAACTTCAGAATGGAATGAAGAATGGATTGTCTTCGATAGCGGGGGACCTAGAGTAGGAGATTCACAGGCATGTCAGAGGTACCATGCCCAGATATAATGTATCCTAAAGGGATACATCAGCAAAGGGGCAGGTATGGACCTCCAGAAGAGTTGATTGGGTGGCACTGTTTCCACAATTTTTGTGGAATCTGTATAAGTAGCCAATGATTTTCAAGGGTTCAAAGGGGCAGGTATGGACCTCCAGTGGGGTTGATGAGGAGGCATTGGATTCCCCAAGCTGCATCCATTTCCACAGTTATGATGTACTCTTTATAGGTAGCCTATACGTTTTAAGGGTTCAAAGGTGCCTCCTCCATCAGGACTTTAGAATGGAATGAAGGTCTTAGATTTTGGTGGAATCTGTATAACTAGCCAATGAGCTTCAAGGGTTCAAAAGTGCCTCCTCCATCAGAAATTCAGAATGGAATGAAGAATGGATTGTCTTCGATGGCGGTGGACCTAGGGTAGGAGATTCACAGACATGTCAGAGGCAGGCTTGAAGCACACTCGTCACAATGATTGTGAGCCTTTTATCTAAGAGAATCCTAAAGGGAACCTGTCATCTGCAAAGGGGCAGGAATGGACCTCCAGAAGGGTTGATGGGGAGGCACTTTTTACCCATAGCTGCATCTGTTTCCACAATTTTTGTGGAATTTGTATAAGTAGCCAATGAGTTTCAAGGGTTCAAAGGTGCCCCCTTCCCTCAGAACTTCAGAATGGAATGAAGGTCTTAGATTTTGGTGGACTTAGGGTAGGTGACCCACAGTAATGTAGCAGGTAGTCTCCAGATATGGTTGTAACTTAAGCCTTTTATCCAAGATTATCCTGAAGAAGACATGTTATTGACAAAGTGACAGGTATGGTCCTCCAGAAGGGTTGATTGGGTGACACTGGCTACCCAGAGCTACATCTGTTTCCACAATTATGGTGGAATCTGTATAAGTAGCCAATGAGCTTCAAGGGTTCAAAAGTGCCTCCTCCGTCAGAACTTCAGAAAGGAATGAAGAATGGATTGACTTTGATTGCGGTGGACCTAGGGTAGGAGATTCACAGGCATGTCAGAGGTAGCCTTGAAGCACACTTGTCGCAAGCTGATGATTGTGATCCTTTTATCTAAGAGAATCCTAAAGGGAACCGGTCATCAGCAAAGGGGGAGGTATGGACCTCCAGAAGGGTTGATTGGATGGCACTGTTTCCACAATTTTTGTGGAATCTGTATAAGTAGCCAATGATTTTCAAGGGCTCAAAGGGGCAGGTATGGACCTCCAGAAGGGTTGATGGGGAGGCATTGGATTCCCCAAGCTGCATCCATTTCCACAATTATGATGTACTCTTTATAGGTAGCCTATACGTTTTAAGGGTTCAAAGGTGCCTCCTCCATCAGGACTTTAGAATGGAATGAAGGTCTTAGATTTTGGTGGAATCTGTATAACTAGCCAATGAGCTTCAAGGGTTCAAAAGTGCCTCCTCCATCAGAAATTAAGAATGGAATGAAGAATGGATTGTCTTCTATAGCGGTGGACCTTTGGGTAGGAGATTCACAGGCATGATTGTCAGAGGCAGGCTTGAAGCACACTCGTCACAATGATTGAGAGCCTTTTATCTAAGAGAATCTCAAAGGGAACCTGTCATCAGCAAAGGGGGAGGTATGGACCTCCAGAAGGGTTGATGGGGAGGCATTGGATTCACCAAACTGCACCCATCTCCACAGTTATGATGTAATCTTTATAGGTAGCCTATAAGTGTTAAGGGTTCAAAGGTGCCTCCTCCATCAGGGCTTTAGAATGAAATGAAGATCTTAGATTTTTGTAGACTTGGAGTAGAAGACCTACAATAATGTAACAGGTAGCCTTCGGGCACGTTCGCCACCAGCTGATGGTTGCAATTTCAGCCTTTTATCCAAGAGAACCCTAAAGAGGACCTGTCATCAGCAAAGTGACAGGTATGGACCTCCAGAAGTGGCACCGGCTACCCAGAGCTGCATCTCTTTCCACAATTATGGTGGAATCTGTATAAGAAGCTGTCACGGAGTGCCCCTGCCTTCCCCACCCCCCTTTGCCTGCTGTTCCTCGGCCATATCCCTCCACCCTTACACATTCCTCTGTCCTTGTAGCTTCCATGCTGGGCCAGCCATTGCCGAGGCAACCCAGCAGCGTCCCACATGGCTTTAAAAGGACTGGCACAGGTAGCAGCCCTCCTCTTTGTTCCTGTGCATGCTGCTGGAATCATCTACCTCCCTGAAAGCCGCTGGGAGGCTCGTGTGGGGGGGACCGAGCCTCTGCAGCCATCCGCACTCTGCAGACCCCCCAAAGGTCAGGACTGTAACCCTCTCCAATATTCCAGGGTTGGGAGTACCTGCTGCCCTCCGCTTAATGTCCCAGGGTGGGAGTCTCCGCAGCTCTGCATAAGCCCCCTCCTCAAAGGTCAGACCCCACTCCTGAGACCCCCAAGCTAAGGGGAGACCGCCTGACCCTACCTGAGACCCTCCAGCTGAGGGGAAAGTTGTCCCGCCTGTTGCCCGAGACCCCTGTCCAGGGGTAGGTTGCCGCCTGTTGCCCGAGACCCCAGTCCAGGGGTAGGTTGCCGCCTGTTGCCTGAGACCCCAGACCAGGGGTAGGTTGCCCCCGCCTGTTGCCCGAAGCCCCGGTCTGCTGTGCAGTCATAGAGGGAGCCCAGCTGAGGCAGGACCCTCGTGACGAACGCCTGCCTGTTGCCCGAGACCCCAGTCCAGGGGTAGGTTGCCGCCTGTTGCTCGAGACCCCAGTACAGGGGTAGGTTGACCCCGTGCCGGTTGCCCGAGACCCCAGTACAGGGGTAGGTTGCTGCCTGTTGCCCGAGACCCCAGTCCAGGGGTGGATCGCCTGCCTGTTGCTGAAGACCTCAGCCTAGAGGGGAGATTGTTCGCCTGCTGCCGAAGGACCCCAGTCCAAAGGGGGAGAAGACCGCACAAGCCGAAGACCCCCTACCTGAGACCCCTCGCCTGTCCCGGACCTCCAACAGCTATTTGTGTCTTACTTTCTTATCCCTGGGGGACCGGACACCCTGTTGGATCCGTGGGCACATGCTTCCCCCTGTTTTACCTGAACTGCTGCTGGGACGATCCCCTGTTTTACCGGAACTGTTTCTGTGATGACCCTTGCCCCTTGTGAGATTACAATCCGCCACACAGACTCTTCCTTACCCTTGGTGCTGGGCTACAAGTATCTTAGCCCCTCCTTGGTGTCACCCCCCTATTGGCAAGACCCCCCGTGCCAGGAATCGTCCCCTAGTTTGCGCACAGATCACCCTCCCTGCCATTTCCCCATTGAGTGTCTGTCATTTTGTTGTCTCAGTAAAGCTTTGTGTGTTCCCCATCTTCTCTGTGTGTTCTGTCCTGCCTACACTTCCATCACAGAAGCCAATGAAATTCAAGGGTTCAAAAGGTGTCCCCAACCCATTAGGACTTCAGAATGGAATGAAGGTCATAGATAGTGGTGGACTTAGGGTAGGAGATGCACAGTAGTGTACTAGGAAGCCTTCGGGCTCAATCACCACCAGATGATAACTGCAAACTGAGCCTTTTATCCAAGAGAGCCCTTAAGAGGACCTGTCATCAGCAAAGTGACATGTATGTGCCTCCAGAAGGGTAGATGGAGCTTCAGAATGGAATGAAGGTCTTAGATGGTTGAGGACATAGGGTAGGAGATGCATAGAAATGTAATAGGTAGCCTTCGGGCACACTTGCCCCCAGCGGATGGTTGAAAATTGAGAATTTTATCCATGAGAACCCCAGAGAGGACCTGTCATCAGCAAAGTGGCAGCAAAAATTGACAGGTATGGACCTCCAGAAGGGTAGATGGGTGGTGCTGAAACCCTGGAGCTGCATCCATTTCACCAATTCCACAAAGTCTCCTTTGAACTGTAATTGGAGAAAGGACTGGAGAGCCACACCAGAGTATTGTGGTGCAAAAAAAATATGTTCCAATCTAAAGTGGAATCTGTATAAGTAGCCAACAGTTCTTCTGAATGGAATGAAGGTCTTAGACAGTGGTGGATTTAGGGTGGGAGATTCACAGTAATGTACCAGCCAGCTTTCCAGCACACTCGTCAGCAGCTGATGGTTGAAAATTTAGCCTTTTATCAATGAGAACCCTAAAGTGGACCTGTCATCAGCAAAGTGGCAGCATAAATTGACAGGTATGGGCCTCCAGAAGGGTAGATGGGTGGTGCTGGATCCCTGGAGCTGCATCCATTTCCACAATTATGGTGGAATCTGTATAAGTGGCCAGTGAGTTTCAAGGATTCAAAGGTGGGGCCTCCATCAGGACTTCAGAATGGAATGAAAGAGCTCCATAGTGTTGGACGTAGGCCAGGAGATTTGCAGTAA